TATCTATCTGTGTATGTATGTATGTATGTATGTACGTATGTATGTATGTATGTATGTATGTATGTACGTATGTATGTATGTATGTATGTATGTATGTATGTATGTATGTATGTATGTATGGATGGTTTTTACATACATACACATGTATATACAAAGGCATCTACTCATTGTTTACATGCTTATATAAACATACATATCCGCATAAAGACATATATCATATGATCACATGTACTGTATATATGTATATGGCTCGCGCTAATCACCGCTAACCACTTACTTACAGGTGTTCTGCCAGGGAGCAGCGGTCGGAAGAGCGCCGGACTTCTGGGAATCGTCGCAGGACCCTTCAGAGCCAGGATGTCCTCCACTATAGCAGTAAATGTTACAGCACAGTCAAGTAGCTAGTGTATTTATAATCGTTGTCCTCATATCAATGGATACCTGTCTCCAGACGTGGGACGCGCCACAGGGTTCGATGCAGTGGTAGTGCAGCATGCGCTGTGGACTTTATATGCACTTCCAGGATCCTACAACTGCAGCAAGCTGCAACCCTCAGCCAGCAAACCCCTCAGCAACACCGAGAGAGAGGGTTTAATAGGGTTTAATAGGGCTGATTAGGGTTTCATGGGGTTTAATGGGGTTTGGGGTTAAGCTCGAATGTTATGCAACTTACTGAGCATCATGGTAGCAACACTTCCAACTACCCGCTCAGCCGCTCAGATGCCATGATCTATTTGCATAGCTGGAATTCGAGAATGGGGCAACGACAAAAATCTAGATGCAACCACCGCCTGATTGAAAATACGTTCTGCGCGCGAAGTCTCAATCACAGATTGAAGTTCGTAGACGAGTCGTCGGGGCCTTCTTCATAATCGAAAGGTGTCTTCTGCCAGGAAACGCTTCCAGCACCCTCCCCCAATCAAACTAGTGAGCAAGCAACACACTGAAGAGTCCGTGAATGCGCACGACTGAAAGAAGCAGGCATATGAGTACATGGTTCGGAGTCTGACCAAGCACAACACAATTTCACGATCATCCTTTCACTGCTGGCCTAGAACGACCCCCCACCCTTATCCTAGTCTTACCGTTCAATGTTAGTGAACCAACTCTTGTGTTTGTGACCCTCCGGAGAAATCCTTGATGCAGTTGAAGTATGCATTCTCGTTGCGGACGGCGGTCAGGTGTAACTCTAGACCCTGCCAGGAACGCTCTGTTCGGGAGAGAAAGAAAGTTACCCCTATAGGTGCATACATAAAACCTGACGGCTAGCCTTACCCGAACCCCCCAGGTACCCACTATATAGGATACTAGAGCCCCTAAGGCCCTGTTAGGGTTATACAACACCGATGTATAGATTCAACCAGACAGAACCCTATCGTCGGGGAGATCTCGCAGGTAGGAGTTCGTTCACTCTGTAGACTTTAGGCAAATAAGGGTTTCTGACTGGAGGTCTTCGCTTGCTCTTCAGAGCTTTACCCTAGGGCTCCAAGTGATCAAATAGTGCCTACTTTGCGTTCTAAAGTCTGTATATAGTACCTACATTGCGCTATTTGGAGACCCAGGGTTAGAGTCCCGGATTCTTTTTCGAGGGGTTTCTGGGTCGTAGGGTCTCGGGGCACGGGTTTAGTTTCCATCGCCTTGGGCTTTTGAGTCCTTCCCCTGCACGGCCTACAAGGCTCAGGCGCAAAACCAGACTGATAGGCCGAGGGGTCGCGCTTGAGGGTGGGAGGCGAAAGCTGTATTATATATACATGCAAAACAAAAGTTTATCAGACGCCAAAGAGGTTTTTGCTCCCCCATGTTGCTCCGTCTTCACTGCTACTAATTATCACCGTTCCGTTCCTACTACAAGCGGTGGGGTTAAGTCGCGTCAGGGCGCGTTTAGTCACATCATTGTGTTATATAATATAGCGGAATCCCCAAGCGCAAGCTGGATCGATGCGACTAAACACAACGCGATGCGACTTAGCCCTTGGACTTGTAATTACTACTGCTTATGCTACGGCTATTTTCTTCCTACTCTCAGTGCTGTTCTTGTTGCTGCTGTTCATACTTTTGTTATCATGCTGAATGACTCCGACAGGGGGGCGAAGGATATACAAAAGTATACAACCCCTGCGTAACAGAAACTAAGAGGGCGCGGGGCTGCACCTCTGGTAGAACAGCCCCAGGGACTGCACAACCCTTGCCTGACGTCGCTAATAACCCTAAGGGTCCATGTACCCAAATAGTATGTATTTTGGCCTTAAAGTTGTCCCTATATAGGTACTTTGGGGCCAAAATATATACTATTTGGGTACATGGACCCTTAGGGTAAAACGTTATCATGTGATCATTGGTAGTCGTAGCATATGCGCCGATAGCAATGCGGCAGATGGAGGAGGCCTCCACGCACTTTCCGAGCCTCGGCTACTCAACGGGAGCGCTCCATAATAGATAGAGGCCTTAATTGCTAGAGATTATCCAATTTATATAAGCACATACACACACACACACACATATATATATATATATATATATATATAATATACACAGAGAGAGAGAGACAGACTGATGCGTACATATGTTGAGGGTAAGGATGCATGAGACATGATAGTAGCAAATCTTGAGGCTTTTATATGAGGTTCGAAAAGGGGTTTGATAAGGGCATGACAGGTGGCAAGAGGGTCTTGCAAGAGTATTCACGGAAACTTGAGTAGGTTCCAGGGAATTATGACAACTTGAAAAGACCTGGTGATCAGTCGGGTGAGCTACCGGTAAATGGCTTGTCGGTATTGGGGGCATTTCGATTTCAGGTTGTAAGGAAGCTTATGCGAATGGATAGCATCTCCGCTGGCACAACGCATCGCAGAAGGGCCAAGACGCAATGCAACCAGCCAACGAAGCACCTGCAATGCGAAGTTGGGGAAGCTCCGCTGTTGCCCCCCAAATATTTGCCATCTACTCACGCCGTGGTCCTACTGCAAGAAGCCGTGGAGAGCAGACTGATGCATCCTTCAGGCCCGACTCTTACATGGACTCCACGTAGTGCTGAGCTGTTGGCTTAGTGGCATTCAATCAAAGACGTGGTTGCCTGCATAGCTTGATAACTCTTCATGGTCATGGGTGCTGTGAAGAGGTGAGGAAAAGGAAAACAACAAATAGCACTCATTGAATGCTGAAATCTACATCCCTGAACTAGGACTGAAGAAGTCTGATCTTTAACATCGACTCCGTCTGTGCATAGCAACCGCCGGCACAGCTTTCTCTCTGTCTGACTCTCTTCATCGAGCTGCGAACCGAACTGCCATCTTCGATACATCATCCGAAATAGTACACAGAGACAGCCAGAACCGAAACCCACACTCCCAAACTAAGATAAACTGCGCCGACCTGGTCGTGGGCTGCGATCGCGCCCAGACGAGGTGCGCCGGCATTGACCGCCTCTGGCGGTCGCCTCCAGGTATCCTCGGGTCTGCAACAAAGCGACCAGCAGCGTCAAGGCTGCAAAGATTCTGTGCAAGTTCGGAAGCTTTTATACTATATAATACAATATAATATACTAATATTTAATATAGTATAACATGATATGATATAATATACGTACTATGATATAATGTAGCGTACTAGAATAGAATCTAATACAATATAACAGACTACCGGGCCGGAGCTTCGCTCGGGCCCGGCTCTAGTCTTCTTTACGAACAGACAACATTTGGATAATCGGGTGGGCGTTGTCTTTTGGCCTACGCTGTTGATCGTGAAGGTTTAGGGTTTAGGGTTAAGGGTTTAGGGTTGAGGGTGTCGCTAGAGCTTTCCGAACCGGAATTGCTGTGAACACTTAGGGGTGTGATCTGCATCTCTCGTGGGGAGTCATCTGTTTCTATTTAACACCTGGGCTGAAGGAGGAGACTGGTGCTGAAAAGCGTGTTTGTTTTTGGTGGTTGTCGGCATTTACCATGCTCTGGTGCTTTCGGGTGCAGTGCTGTCTCACCGTTGTCGACATGTTGGGCTGAAGCTGACGCTGCCAACTCTTTGCGATGAACAAAGGTGCGAAATTCCGTAAGGGAAGCACCACACGCAGAATCATCCAAGACGCATCGAGCAAGCTTGCCACCTCGGGTACACTTAGACTTACGGTGCCGTCAGGATATGACAGAAAACGAGGCCCGAGTCTGGGCATTCAAAAGCCTACTTGGAAGATCATGGGGCTTTGTAAGTAAGGTTACAAGTACCTCCATTAAAATTATAAGTAGCTAGAAGTATAGTAACCCTACTCAAAAACACTAGCTGCTCCTACAACCCATGATCCTTTAAGTGGGGCAGATACCCCACTTAAACTAGAACCACACAAACCCAACACCCCGACAACCACGACTCTGCCTCTTCTGCTTCGACTACTGCCAAGGAGCTTAAAGAGTACTCACAGACTGCCACCTACTACAACTTCTGTCAACACTGTCACTAGAAGTGCAGCTCCGATGCCGACGACGGCATTGTCTGCAACGGCAGCAACTTACTTAGACTATGCTGACCATAAGCCTGTTCCGATGAAATGCCGTCCCGCAGAGGTTTAATTGCCCCGCGGCAACTGATGGCTCAACATGTATGAGGAGAGCTGGGCAGGTCGGTTGGGAACAGTTGGGTTGAGGTCGTATTCACAGATTACCAGCTGAAATAACAAGAGAAGCAACAACAGAGTTACCTCAACTCACTGATTACCATAAACCCTAATCCCTGCACACCCACAAACTTCAAACCAGAAGCCCTGACCCACACACCCTAAGTACAGCAAAAACTGTGGACACTACACCCTGAACCCTAAACCCCTTTGCATCGCGCCTGCGGGCCCACGATCTCCTCGGAGACCTCGACGTCGCGCAAGCGCCTTTGCTGCTTCAACGCTTCTATCTATCTATCTATCTATCTGTCTATCTACATCGATCTATCTATCTATCTATCTGTCTATCTAAGTCGATCTTTCTACCTGTCTATCTAAGTCTATCTATCTACCTACCCATGTATGTATCTATCTGGCTATCTACCAATTTATCTGTCTATCTATCTATCTATCTATCTATCTATCTATATCTATCTATCTATCTATCTATCTATCTATCTCTCTATCTCAGTCTATCTATCTACCTGCCTATGTATGTATCTATCTGACTACCTTCCGATTAATCTGTCTATGTATCTATCTATCTATCTATCTATCTGTCTGTCTATCTGCTTGTCTGCCTATCTATCTTTGTACCTATCTATCTATGTGTTATATAGTTATGTAGATACATACTAACATATATTTATGGTACATATGTGTTCATATATATATATATAGGTGTGTGTATATATGGATGGCTCAAGGTATGTTTAGGGTTCCCGATGTTGTACTTATTCCTTAAGGTTTTTGGTTTGGCCCCAGGCATGTTTAGGCAACTCGATCTGTGTGTTCAATACTGTACAGTCCGCGAGGGTGTACCTAGAATCTCCATTGTAGTTCTTTGTTGGCCTATGATTTAGTTAATCAAAAAAGGACCTACAATGGAGACTGTACGTAGATTCGGGACGTTGGTTGACGTGGACTTGGGTCTGCTCGGAGGGCAAGCTCTGCCAAACAAAGTATACGGACGCATCTTTACAGCCCAAACCCGAACCCCAAAGCCCCTAAACCCCAAGAGTCTCAACAGGGAATCCGGGAGCCCCTAAATTTCATGCCCCATGATCCTGGTTTCGACGGGAACAGGCACGCTTCGGGAGCCGAGGTCATAGCCGAAGGAAGCCGGTTGCATCGTTCCCACACATACGGGCGCCTAAGCCCCAAAAGCTCGAAGCCTAAGCCCTGAACCCCCTACAGCGAACCCCAAAAAAGCTGGAACATGGGTTTAGGATGATTAGTGCTAGGTCCTTTTTTGCTCGACATTAATAGCTTAAGGGAATGGGGGTCAGACTGTTCCAACTTATTTATGACTTCTACTCTAAACCCTAAACCCCAAGCCCAAAGCCCCGAACCGTCGAGCCCTGAATCTTGTAAATTACAAGCCCTCAAGCCTTTCTTTGAAGGGTTTAGGGTTTAGGGTTTAGGGTTTAAGATTTAAGGTTTAGGGTTTAAGATTTAAGGTTTAGGGTTCCTTGCTCCCGGGAGTCTGCTGCCAGGACGGCCTTCCATCGCCTTCCTCGTGCTTTGAGTGAATGAAGTGCTCTGGGATTTCGGGATCGATGGTTAGGGTTTAGGGTTTTGGGTTTTGGGTTTTGGGTTTGGGGTTTAGGGTTTAGGGTTTAAGGTTTAGGGTTTAGGGATAGGTCGGGTATGAGGTCAGTGACCTACCCTAATGTAGGGGCCTTAATAATTAGAAGAGGGTTTTGGGGCAGGCTATACTACAAGATGAGTTTTCAGGAGCCCCCCAAAATAGCATAGGTAATTGTTAAGGCCCCCATAGTAAAGGCTTACTAAGGAAACTTCGGGGTTGAAGGGCCCGGGGGTTGAAATCCGAATCTGTAGTAGGATGTAGAGAACACCGTCGCCACGACTCGAACGACACTGCACAACCACGGTGGGTCCGTCTGGCTGATAGGATATGAGCGAAACAGCATTCCGAGTGAAAGTGGTGTGTGCTGGTGGGTGTGTGTGTGTGTGTGCGTGTGTCTGTGTGTCTGTGTGTGTGTCTGTGTATGTCTGTGCGTGTGTGTGTGTGTCTGTGTGTGTGTGTGTCTGTGCGTGTCTGTGTGTGTCTGTGTGTGTCTGTGTGTGTGTCTGCGTGTGTCTGTGTGTGCGTCTCTGTGTCTGTGTCTCCACATTTCGGGCTCTGCTTTTCTGTCCCCAACTCAATACTTCGCCAGAAACGTGACGTCGGATGCCTAGGTTCACTCTCGCAAAACCCAGTAGGACCCAAAAACTCTCCAGGTAGTGTCGGAAATTCAGACACATCAGTATCAGGCCTCCGGCTCACCTCTAAACCGAAACGTCTCAACCTTACCCAGCCTTACCCCTTGCATCAGAGACCCCGCACTTACACCCTAGAAGAAAAAGGGCCCGACGTCCTGGCAGAAGGGCAGAGGCGTGCGCGGATGGGCCAGGAAAAGCAGCTTCAGCACGACGAAACCGATGGCGATTGCATCCTTTTAGGGTTTAGGGTTTAGGGTTTAGTTTCTGTCAGAGGCGTGGAAGTCTACTGAACATGAAAACAAATCAAGCTTTACTCCCCGGTAGTTTCTTAAAGATCACCCTGCTGCAGTGCTGCTATCGTGGCTTTCGAGCACAGCCCCTGTGATCCCAAGGCCCGGGAAGCTCCCTAAACCCAAATCGGACCATAAACTCGAAGAGCACATACTCTCAAGCTCAATGCTGAGACCTTACTTCAATGAACCTTGCTAAAACCGAAAGATTCGACCGTAGCAGTGCACCAAGACAGTCAGAATCTCTTAACACCATACGGACTGACAGAAAGCTCATGTGACGCCGTTGATGAGATAAATCTTGCATTACCTTAAGGACCCTAAACTATGGGAATTGTGATCTATTCCCTAAACCCTAAACCCTAAACCTTAAGCCCTAAACCCTAAACCCTAAACCTTAAACCCTAAACCCTAAACCCTAAACCCTAAACCCTATAAACCCTAAACCTCCTTATTATCATCAACCGCAGGATCCAGCCCAGCGGCCCGAAACTCGCTTTCAACCGGGAAGTCGCGCGAAGAGAACATCTTCTGACTGGTATCCGGCCTGGGCCCAAGCAGGTGCAACACTCGAAATTAGGTTTAGGGTTCAGGGTTTCAGCACTCACAACTGGGACAAGCCGGGCGAGGGTTCAGGGTTTAAGGGTTTAAGGGTTTAGGGTTTACCCCAAACTAATGGACACCTCCTGAGCTTGCAAGCACCCTAAACTCAGCAAGGTACCGAGACAAACCAGCCAGCCACCTGCCCTCAAGCCGCATTTACTCGTCTCTCTTTCATCCTCTCTGGGAACTCACTCATAAACGCAATAGACAAACCACGGGCTGGATTTTTTGCAAGGTACGGAGTGCAATCCCACAACCCTAAGTCTCTAAACTTCGACGCTGAATCCCTTCCCCAGACTCGTAAACCCTAGACGACCTAAGCCCTAAACGCCCAAGGCCTTACATGCTCGCTATGCATCCAGGCCTGTTCCAACTGCCACAAACCCTACACTCCAGACCCTGAAAGCTCCCAAACTACAATGTCGGGATCTGAATACTTATCATTGGTCTTCCCTAACAGTTCCGATAAAATATAATCATCCCATAACCCTACTGCAAGACCCTAGTCTAACAACAAAGGCCCCTATTCTCATGGCTCCATAACCCTAAACCCAAAGCCTTCAAATAAATACAAAGGCCCCTATTCTCATGGTTCCATAACCCTAAACCCAAAGCCTTCAAATAAACAACAAAGGCCCCTGTTCTCATGGTTCCATAACGCTAAACCCAAAGCCTTCAAATTAATACAAAGGCCCCTATTCTCATGGTTCCATAACCCCAAACCCGAAGCCTTCAAATAAATACAAAGGCCCCTATTCTCATGGTTCCATAACCCCAAACCCAAAGCCTTCAAATAAATACAAAGGCCCCTATTCTCATGGTTCCATAACCCCAAACCCCAAGCGTTCAAATAAATACAAAGGCCCCTATTCTCATGGTTCCATAACCCTAAACCCAAGGCCTTCAAATAAATACAAAGGCCCCTATTCTCATGGTTCCATAACCCTAAACCCTATTCCTTCATATAAATACTAAGGACCCTACAGTTGATGGACAAAATCCTGCATGACCTAAGTATAGTATAGCACCATAATTCCCATAGTTTAGGTATATAAGGTCGTGCAGGATTTTGTCCATCAACAGTATTGCATCTGCTTCCAAGGTGCTCTTCGCTGAGCAGGGCTCGATTCAGTGCCGCCACGCGCGGGATTTTTCTGGCCAAGAGCCCTGATAAAGAGGTGTGTGTGTGTGTGAGGGTTTGCGGTCTGGGTAGGGTCATAGGGTGCATAACTTTTTTGTAACTGATTGTTCTGTCAGGGCTGAAAAGCATTCTCTTTCTAGAGCTTCAGGTTTTAAGAGGGACCTGAAAGAGACTTCTTGAGGCTCGCTGGGCTTTGAAGGGTGCGGTGTTTAATGTTTACCGTTTAGGGCTTGGTAATCTGCTCTCTTTGGACCTTACAGGTCTATCTTCAGCTGATAAACCTCTGGGGCTTGAGGGCTTGAGGTGTTTCGAGTGTATCCCCTGCGTGGCTTTGGATGTGCAGCTCTGGGTTGTGAGATTTGGGAGATCACATGCTGGCGTTCACTCGGATGGCTTGGCCTTTCAGGCTTAGGTAAACAATAACTAAGTATCGACAGCTTTTTTCAGACCTTAGTTGCTCAGCCTCATGATCCTTCGAACCCCAAACCCTCATAAGTCAGAAAGTCTCATGGTCAGTTTAAGTAGGCCAAGTCTCCGAAGAACTTCCGGGCCCAGGCTAGGCCCCGAATATCGTCCCTTCGAAGCGCGAAGGTATGCCTGAGATCAGCAGGGCCCGGTCTTCCAGGATTCCGGCTTTAGGGTTTTTCGGTTTAGAGATCGGGCTTCAAAACGGTGTTGTAGGCGCCAAGAGTGTAAAGGCTGAGCATTCAGGTTTTGGAGGGGTTTTGGCGATTCTTAAGTGCTCAGGACTTATGGTTTTTTGGTAGGCTTCCCAGTTGAGGGCTTAGCATTAGATTTAGAGGTGGGGGGTTGAAGGGCTTAACGCCTTGTGACTTGAACCCAATTTCGTTGCTACGTGGATCTGCGTTTGGATGCATCATTCGGAAACAATTCCGACTACCAAACATCGCACCTAAGTCGATGTGGAAGTGAGTCACACTCCAGACTACATCGAGTTGCAAGGCAGAACACACAAACCCAGAGCACGTCAAAACGGTGTGACCCCAAAGCTATATATGATGCACCAACTCGCTTTGGACGGAGACAACAATACCGAAACCATAGCAGACAGTTGTTTGCAAGATAACCTATCTTCAGCCCCTTAGAACTTCTTTTTCCGCTAGAACAGGGTGGCTGTGAGCTGGTGAGTTGCTTCAGCATGGTCCCGTGGAAAAGAATCGATCGCGGCCCCCAACAGAACGCATCACTCTTGGAATCTGGCCCCTCGCAGTTCAAAGCACCTGACGGTAAACAGCCCCCAGAAGGCCGAGATATACAAGTAGCAATAGCCACTGTGCCGACACAGTACCTGTGTACAGTTCTCAAAACCCAAGTAGGCACATCCCATGTAACATTCGGCTGGGGCCTTTTTAGACACTCACTCAAGCCCAGCCCCATATATGGACCCCGAATATAGAGGCCTCAATCATTAGAATAGGGTCTTGGGAGTCTTGGGGTATGTTATACTAGAATTACAAAAAGGAACCCCAAAAATAGTATTGGTAATTATTTAGGCCCCTATATTACCCTTATGCGGCCAAGGGTACATCAAGTTCAAGCAGAGGGAGCCATGATCCGGAGCCAGCACGAGAGCTTTCCGGTAAAGGCGGCTCGCCTTCCGAACTCGAACTCGTGGTGTGCTCGCTCTTGTCAGGGGCCGCTGGTAGCAGCGGTTGACATGGAAGTAATGTAGGGGCCTTAATGAATAGAATAGGGTTCTGGGCTCCTTTTGAATTTTTATCATAAGGAACCCTAACAATAATGTTGGTAATTATTTGCGCTTCTATATTACTCTTTCCAAGCATACAAAAAAAACAGCCCAGGCGGTCACTATGAACAGGTACTGGGAACAGTATCAAAACACAGAACAACGGTATGCACAGGTATGCACACAAAGACACTGAGAACACACAGACACACATCTGTGCATCACATGATATATGAATATACCGGCATACAACCATGTGCACATTCATGATGCCGTTTCGTTGCCTTGCCACGAAATTGCCAGCGTTGTACGCACGGACACACGGGTTTGGCATCTTCACCACAAACGTGGCAGCCTAGACCTTATTACATAAACTCTCAACATAACCTCAAACACTACGGGTCCTAAAACCTCAAAGCTCCAGACCCTGAACAACTCCGTTGCATGTGAGGCCCGAAATGTCGTCAACGCCGCCGAAATGCCTCGAGGACCATCCCGCGCTCTTTCATGATGAGGCCAACCTGACTGCAAGCTTTCAGGGGCTGGCAGTCCCCAGAAAAAAGAGGCCTGAAGGCCTAGAGTTCCGGGTTCAGGTTTGTGTAGGGTTTGCGGATGAGTACTATTGAACTGATGAAGATGAACTTCGATTCTCCAGAGTGCGTCACTTCAAGATACTCTTGGCGATAAAAAACTGTAATCAGGATAAGCTTTTCCTGAATGATCAAAAATGTTCAGGCCTAAAGAGGTCAAAGCTCGCGCCCAGCGTAGCCGAGGGGTTTGATAGAGTTTTGTAACGTATTCATAACGCAGCATTCTTGTGCTGTGGAATTTGCCCAACTTGGTGGCGGCCATGAGCAGTTCGGCTTCTGATCTTGAGGCGCCAGTTAAGGCAGGACGGGGCAATGTCTCCATCCTAACCCGACTTAGTGCCGGGGGAGCTTAAGGGTTGTCCCACTTGTACGTAGCCCGATAACTATACTTACTAAGTCCGCCGACCCTGCAAGCAAAAGCGCGAAGGATAAGCCCGACACCTCCTTAGCCAAGAAAGCCCGAAGTAGGCCATAAGAGCTGAAACCTGAAGCCTGCCTAAACTTCACCGAGACAACCCCGAAAGGCTTTATAGCCTCAGGATGAAGGAGTTCCAAAACCCCGAAGATAGTCCCTCAACGCTTGGATCCGTCTCCACCCCGCCGTCAAGGAAAGATTGGACCCCGTAACTTTTTTAAAGCACGACTCGAATATCTTACGACACCCATCACTAAAGCTTAAGAAGGCGTTGCAAAAATTCACAACTCTGAGAAAACGTCCGCACATGACACAAGACCCCCTTGACAAAGAAATACGAAACTCCCCCCCCCCCCACCCGGTGCCAGGGTGTCATGAGGAACGCCGGGGTCCCCGGCATAGCCGACGACCTCTGCAACAGATTTAATGTGCGTCTCGTTGACCATGGCCTTTGGAGCTGTGGGGACTTACGGCTTTCTTAGAGGCTCTCAGAGGTTCGGATTTAAGGTCCGGGATTTTAGGGTTTAGGGTTTAGGGTTTAAGGTCCGGGATTTTATAGGGCTTATAGAATTTTGTCAAGTTTGCGGTAGTTTTGCAGCTTAGGATTTAGGTGCTAGGCCTTGGTGCTTAAGAGCTATTTTGACGGGGGGAACTTCTGGTTTAGGGTTTAGGGCTTAGTTAGAGGGGGGGAACCTCTGGATGAAAAAAAAAGTTAGGGTTCAGAGGGATGTCAACAAGGGTGAACAGCAGGATTTGAACCGGGTGGTTTTGAGCTTTTCAGCTGAGGCTCGAGGTGGAACAGGTAAGGAATCAACCCCCGGAATCACTGGCAAAGTTGCAGCTTGCATCCTTGAGGCATCTTCAGGTGGTCAGGGAAACCCTCCCTAAACTTGTTTTTCCCTAAGCCCTCCCTAAACCCTAAACCCCAAACCCTAAACCATGGCCAGAGGAGTGTTGCAGCTGCTTTGAACCTCCTGGCCAGAAGATCCCCGACCAAAAAAAACACTCCAAATGGGCAGCTCTCTAAATTAGATAGTATATGGGTAATTCTCTAAATCGGCGTCCCTTCTTAAGGGGTCCCTTAAAAGGGATCTATAAAGGGTTTCCATAGGATTTGTATAAGGGTACTATATGGGCAGCTCTCTAAAGAGTTCCAAATATAGTACCGCACCCTTAAAAAGTGGACCCTACCAGGGACCCTATAATTTAGAGAACTGCCCACATTACACTTTCAAATCTGAAGTCTGCGCGCATCCAGGTAGCTAAAGCCTTCAAGTTCATGATAGGATGTGAACAGACCCTTTAGATACCTGGTATGACAAACATGATTTCTCTGCAAGACCATTATGCGGCCTCTATGGAATCTACAGAACGCTGGCATAACATTATAATCTACTTACACCATCATTTTGAAACCCCTCTTAGAGATTGTATGACTACAACTTATATCCTGCACCCGAAAACCTAACTAATATACCCTAAAAGAACCCTCATCGCCACACCCGCCGGGGCTGTTGCAGGGTTCGGCGTCATCACACTGCAAAGCTCCTCGGGAACGCCAGCTGCGCTGAACTTTGGGACGTTGGGGTTTGGGTGAGTTGTTTTGTGCTTTGGGGCTTTGGGGTTTTGGATTATGGTGGCTGGTGGGGTTTAGGGTTTTTGGTGTCGGGTTTTGGGCTTGGGGGTATGCGGCGCGAGGTTTCGGATCTTATTCCTGGGCCTTGGGTTGTGAATTCCCTCCGTCCCGGGCCCTGGGAAGCCTTGACCAGATCCAAAATCCTGAACCTATTCCCCGAAATGCCACCCCCTCATCCATGGACTCCAAGCCTTCGAAGCCAGCAAACTCTCCAGCAAACTCTCACCGCGAGTCCCTGGAAAAGGCCTTGCAGGGGTTCAGGCAAAGGACCCACAAGGACGCTGAGTAATGGAATCCTCATCAACGAGGACCCAGAACACCATATTTATGATTGCGAACCCTGACAAGAACAGTGACCCAGCACACCCTGCCAGCATAACGCATCACTGCGGCACCTCCACGTTGCAGTGTCGCATCACTCCGCAGACAAGCCTCAGCTCCATGCAAGCCTCCCTGAGGCTCCATACTTAGTTAGGCCTGAAAGGGGTTCCTTCATGGGAACTTTAAGGAGCCATTATTTGGGTTGCTGTTGACGGAAGTATCCGGTACAGTACGAAGGTTACCCATGCGAACAGCTCATGGGTAATATTAAGTTTGCGAGTAAGGTCCATCTTGGAGTCATACAATATCAGGGTTGCCAAGGGGCTGCAATATCCTTACTATGGGGGGGGGTGCAATCAGGCGGATGTATGTTGTTCCATTACCCTTCAGGTCGATATGGTAGTACAAAAAGGGATGTGTAATGGGGTTCAGTCGACATAGCATTTTAATCCATATCTACTAAGACGTGAATCTGTAAGGACTCTCTTTTGGTTGAACATGAAAAAAACACTACTGTCACCATTGGGGCCAATGTAAGGTCTAATGGCAGGGTGAGTCTTAGGGATACTGTTGATTAGGAATAACAGTCAGTCAATCCAGCGGTCATTCATACGTATTGCTGGGGCTTTGATCTGAGACTACAGTGAAGGCTACCTCGACAGAAGTGACTTTCATCGTTGGAGAAATCATCTCTCGGAGTATCTGCGTGAAGGGTCGCAAATATTCAGAATGAAGGCTTCTGAATTCTGCCGATATACATATGTCTCCTCGGAACTTCGAAACCTAACGTTACTAAACCTGGATCATACACCAGAAGCTTCAACGCAGGAGGATTGGTGGTGCCATCGCGGCACCTCGCGGTAGTTCTNNNTATATATATATCTCTATATATATATATATGCATATATATATATGTAGATACACACGCATACACATGCATAAATACACACAGAAGATTTCTGAAATTCCTGTGCGACCTGAGCTACAGTGACCTCGGATCTCAGTTCAGTGTGATCAGCTGCTCACGGAAAGGTCAACTAACTGAAACTGAAGATGTGCAAAATTACAACTGTTGGTTTGGGGGTTGTTTGGGTCCGGGTTTTGTTCTTTGCTTTTTGTTCGCTGCGTGTTTTGCCTCCCTTTGCTGCTGTTTTGGGGTGTAGGGGCATTTCCTGCCCTTCGTCAGATGTCGTCGGATGTGCCTGATGCGCCATGCAGCTGACTGCACGTCAGGCTTGGCGTGTGCCGATGTGCCACCTGGACTTCACTTCTTTGATGGTTCAAGTTCCAAGCGCTTCGGGATATAACTCAGACATATAAGGCGCAACGCCGAAGATGATTCCACTGCAACAAACTACCAATCTGCTTGGCATGTAAAATGCGAATGAACTTGAACTTTAGGCAGGGGACAGCCGCCGATACTGGAAAGCGAGCATGCAAGAACAAGAACCAACGCTTACATATCTCTATTCCGAGTTACGCAAGAAAGCTAGACTACTGCCGCACAACGACGTAGCTCAAAATGACGGAACTTTCTGTTCATTCTGACCTCGTATGCCCCCTAATTCCGCACTTCAACCCATTACCTTACCAAAGAGTCTGTAGGTAGCCTGGCATCATGCCAATTAAACTCCAAACTTCAAAAAATCCAAACTCTCAATCTTCTTGTCTGCATCCGGTCTGCATCGATTCAGCCGAAACAAATTCTTGCATCTGGGCTAAAGCCCCTGAAGCCTACAGGAACCCCACAGCCTTGAAGCACCAAACCCTGAAACTCCAAACAGCAGCTCAGGCACCAAACAGCGGACCATGACTGCCAGCGCTACGTGGGTTTCGCCGCGCTCCTTGGGTCAAGACTTGGGAGTTTCCGAAAATGAGGGGTACCCTTCTTTTGGGGTCCTTATAATAAGGATCCTACTCTTTGGGGTACTAAATTAGGGTCCCCTATTGTCGGAAATCCCCACTTTGCACACGGGCGAACCGAGAAAGGCTTCCAGGAGCCGACTGGGGAAACAACACAAAAACTTCTCTTCGTGTAAGGGTTCTATACTGGGGTCAAACAGGACTAGAAATCGTGTAAGGGTTCTATACTGGGGATACACAGGACTAGGAACTCTAACTCTGAAAAAAAGAGCTTGAGTCAGCTTGAGGTTACTGATATAGCTTCTTGGCCACAGGCTCACATAAGCGGAAATTGCACACCAACAGCTCCACCTACGCCAGATGTAGCGATCCCAGGGTTTAGAGTTTAAGATGTTGAAGTTGTAAGGTGTACGAGGTTTTTTTCATTTAGCTTCCAAAGCTATTTAACCTCAGGACTCTAACGCTACAGTTTAACGAGTTATATGGTGTAAGCTTATAGCTTATGTGTTTAGTAGGGCTGTCAGGGACATAGGAACATGTAGGATACGGTGTACACAACTGGATGAGTACTACTCTTACGACGGGCTCAGATCTCTAGTGTCCAGCCCAAAGGTCTAGGCCTAGACAGGGCTTACCCCCGGAGCCTAAGGTAAAACGGGTAAACTTCAAAACAGAAACTGGACCTTCGCTACAACCACCCCCGACTACACAGACCCTGAATTGCTGCAACGATGAAGGCTACTGTCAGCAACACTACTGCCACTAGTGCGGCTGGCACCACTAACCAATGCCAGTACCATGAGCTCACCTGCAACTGCAAGACACAGCGACTGACACTGCATGTGGTTATCTTCAAGCTGGAGCCCAATGATTTCTGGAGCTTCGAATGAGAACGGGATGATCACTAACAGGATAACCGTATCAGCACGGTTTCTTCTCGGGAGAGTGCTCTGTGCTACGAATTGGACGTGGGCGTTTGGAAAACGGGCGACTCTGGATAAACCCAGACTATTCGGATCCTCAATCTAAGGGACAGAAAGAGACCCCGACAAGAGGTTACGAACCCTAAACCCTAAACCCTAAACCACCCCTTTAGGCAAAGCAGCCATCAGAACTTTGGTCGCCACTTCGCAGGCTTCCAATTGCGTGGAGTTTGTCTCCTCAGCTATTCTCAAAGGCCAAGATGGGAGTTTCAGAAAATTAGGGTACCTTTGTTGGGGGGTCCTTATAAAAGGGATCCTATTAATTAGGGTACTATATTAGGGTCCCCCATTTCGGAAACCCCCAGATGCATAGCGGCTGCAATCACCAACTGCTTTCCCGGGTATACCGGGTATAACCTTGTGCTGGGAGGATCATGGGACTTAGTGTGCAAGGTTATAAGTCCCTGAAGTGGGGTTATAAGTAATTATAAGTATAGTTACCTTAGTTCAAACCCCACTTACTAAGTCCCATGATCCTTTAAGTAACCTACCCTAAACCCCAAACCCTAAACCCTGATGGTTGTAGCTGTCGCCCAGGTCTCCATGACCTTGTCGGCCAACTCCGTAGCCGGCCTCCTTTGACCGGTGTAGAACCTGCGCCCAGGAGTGGGATTCATTTAGGGGATTAGGGTTTAGGGTTGAGGGGTTTAGGGGTTTGGGGTTTAGCGTTTAGGGGTTCAGGGGTTTAGGGGTTTAGGGGTTTAGGGTTTAGTGTTTAGGGTTTAGGGTTGAGCCCTCGGGCAAGCCGTTTAGGCGCAAGAGAACAAGTCCCACCTACCAGTGTATTCCGCTTCCAAGCCCCAGTCACATTACCGTTCACGACATTTGTCAGAGCATCCCTTCCCCAGCCATGTTAACTTCCGTGTGGCGTGCATCCGTTGCCCGGAGAATCCCTGGCGTGAGCTCGAAAACAGCCGCTATCCAATCCGTTTGAAAGCGGAGACAATCATGATTTGCTACATATGGCGTTTCCGAAAATAGGGGACCCTAATATAGCACCCCAAATAGTAGGATCCCTGTTATCAGGACCCCAAAATAAAGTACCCTTCCAATTTTCGGAAACTCTCAGATGAAACCCTAAACCCTAAACCCTAAACCTTAAATCTTAACCCCTAAACCCTAAACTCCCCAGCTGCCACACTGAACCCAGGAAGCCCTTCATCCTTCACGTCGGAGCCCTTGCACCACAAAGAGCAAAAAGACAGAGTTGCCTTCATGACTCGACTGGGGTTCTCGGGATACTATACTACACTTATACGATACGGAGCCTGAAGGAATACCGTGGGAAATATCATAAGCCCCCTGTTTTTAAAAAGGTGCCTTGATAATTAGAATAGG